AAAATAAGGTTCGCTGCAGGAAAGCACTAGAATGCAGCACAAAACATGAAGTGTGCTATGAACTTTACATTATACAGTACATTATAACAACAGAGATCATGACTAATATATTGGAACATGCTGCCAAAGGAAATGTTCTTGAGTCCATCAACACTCTTCTTTTAGAAAGTGGTCAAGACCACCCCCACTATAGGCATTTTCTATTTTTTTAAAAGCTGACAATTTGCATTGTACCGTTTAACTGAATTTCAAATGTATGCTATTTTAATGTTCAATCTGATAATTTGGAGGTATTATTGCTTCTGGTTTTTCATACCAAGAAGTACCATAGGATAGAAAAGAATAACAGAGAATAGAGGGCATATTCTTACAAGGAAGCAGAAACACATCTCATTCAGTATCAGGGCTGGGTGAATAGAGTGTTAGGGACCAGCTTCAGTTATCATAGTGCAAGTTTAGGTCATTTGGAAGACAACTGTTTAACAAGTCCTATCTCCCCTTGTGTGTAGTCCGCTTTCTTCAATTCAGGAAGAGGATGTTTGTGACTATATATGCATGTGTGATCTCTAATTAACTACCATTTAGCTTTGGGCCCAAAAGCATGACATCTTTGATTTAGAACAGAGGTGTGATTTTTACCCAAAGTCTTGGCTATGGCCCTTGTAATCTCTCCAGAATTTTTGGTGGGTGGGGGTATGTTTGGGGATTGTCATGTGTGTTGGGCCTGGTCTCTGGGTGTCATATGAATTTTGTTGTATGGATATACTGTGCATATATGTACAATGACAAAGTAATCTAAGAAGTTACCATTTCTAATTGAATGTTTAATAAGTAGGGTACTATTAAATTAATTGTATGCATAATACAATTAATTAAATATGAAAAGTGATTTGGTCATGCTAAAACCACCATATAGATTGGAATTACTATATGACTGAGGAAATGTTAAGATATGAGGAATTTGTAATACATTTTTACATAATAGAATAATAAAAATTCTAACGATGATCATGCCTACTTGCAGTTATAACTCCTACCAAAAAAGAGGAATGCTTCCTGAATTATTTTTAATTGCATGTAGACTATATGGGTGTATATTCTCTCTCTCTCTTTCTCACTCTCTCCCCCCCTCTTTCTCTCATTTCTCTGTCTCTTTTATTTGTATACAGTACACACACACACACACACACATCTACATATGCCATAGAGAAAATTAGTTCTTTTTTTCAGAAAAAAAAAGAATCAAACCATTTGAGCAGCCTTCTTCACCACTCCAAGAAGAGCCAGAACCTGTGAGCTGTGTACTTCAGGGAGACGAAATCCAGGCTCTTGCAATAAAGCGAGAAGATTTAGCAAAAGTAAGTATTAAATTTCCCCCTAATTCAGGTAATTCATTTTGCTGGTGAAGCTTTCATGGTCTTTATCTGTGGACAGTGTTGAGCTTCGGTGTTTGGTAACTATGGTCTGGACAGATTTCCTTAAGTTTTGCTAGCATCTGTGGCTGGCATCTTCAGAGGCCAAGGACCGGCTGGGTTTGATTACCTGTGGTTTCTATAGCAGATTCTTTGCCTCTGAAGATGTCAGCCACATTTGCTAATGAAATATCAGGAAATCTGCAGCTAGACTACGGTCACTAAACACTGAAGCTCAACACTGCCAAATTGCTTTGCTCTCATCTCTTGGGGGCAGGGGAGGAGCGGGGAGAAACCTTCCATCCCTTGAAGGTGTAAAATAATCATTGTGGATCATTGTTTCTCACTTCAGTTTTGTTAACAGTTTATCTTTGTGGCCATTTCTTCCTATAACTCTGCCTCCAGTCAGGCTTTTCACTACAGGCAAAGTAGAACCAAAGAGACAAGCTCACAAGAATCCAAGAACTTCCAATATATGACCTAATATGACCTATAGTAGAGCCATCTCTTCCTTGATTGGAGAAAAAAATGAAGGCACTGTAATGGAAACATGTCAGAAAAAGTATGTTGCCAGGGCATGTTTGTGGCTAGGCACAAGTAGGAAAAGAATGGTAGGCTTTTTAAAAGAGTCATCCAGTCATCATTGGGCCAGTCATTAAAAAAACTCAGTCATGACAATATGACATTAGACGATGCTGTAGGTGACTGATATGGAACTGGTCTTTCTGTATGTCACATCGTTACAATATTTCGGATTCTTTATTATTCATATGGGAGACATAGTAACTTCATTGTGAGGCAGCTACTGCTACTTACCAATGGGTAACACCCTTGGAAATACTTATGTACATTTTATGTGAAATAAATACTGTTATTCCAATTCATATTAAAAGTTTAAATGATTATAGGATACTATGAATGCAATTTAATGTATTCATGCCAGGAAAAGGAAGGGGTGCCTGTGGCATGGTGTCAGTCAGAAAATGTTGTAAGAGACTTAAGGGAACCCTGGAAAGTATGAGGATACCTAGATTCTGACAAGAAGAAAAAAGATTCTATCATCTTGTTCATGAAAAGGGACAGAAGTGTCCATCAAGCTTCATTCCATCTTTTGGATACATTTGGTAACTCCTATTATGGCAGTGTAATGAGAATAGCAACAGTAGAGTTATTGTAAATATTGTTTAATTGAATATGTGTTTGTTATGTAGCTTCGGGCTGAAAAACCTCCTGAAGAAGAGAAAGAGAAACTTGTTGTTATCAAGAAGTACCTTGTACGCAAATCTAGGCCACAAGAAATTGGGAAAAAAACTAATTTGCTGGTTGCTTATCCAGCTCTCCCAGACGACTCAAAGAAAACACTGAATTATTCTGGTACAGTTTTCTCCATTTTTTCATATTGCGGTCCTGATGTTAACATGTGAAATAATTTAGTGCTAAAAGAGCCATTTATAAATCTTTTGATAAGCAGGAAAAAAAATTGGCATGAAATTTGGCTTCCCTATTGCAGTCCCTATTGTGCCTCGACTGCTTCTTTTCATTGCAGTCATCTGACTTCAGATAATGAGTGACAGAGCTTAAAAGCATGCACGCTGAGAGAAAACCTTGCACATGAGAAAAAAATATTACTTTAATAACAGTACAGTTAGTCAAAACGTACACCACAAGTGTCAAACTTGCCATGTCATGTTGCCGTCATGTGGCATTTTGTGACTTTTTCCCATTTGCGGAACTGGGGTGGACGTGCCCTGCACATGACACATCAAGCCTGCGGGCCACCAGTTTGACACACCTGACTTACGCTGTGTCACTGGTGATCATATGAGGAAGATAACATTATGGAGACAGAATAGAAAAAATATGTCCTAAGTTATATGTCATTTGGGAAAGATTCTAAATATCAGAAATTCCTGAACATATTTTTAAATTCATGATTATTTGGGTTTTAATGAATTCTGGATAGAATGAAGATAGAGATGTACAGATCAGTCTATTTATTTTGAATCACTATATTCCTTTGTTGTTTTATTTCATCAAAGTCTTTCATCATTTTGCAATCCTGTACAATCAGTCTTTATTTTACATAAATATAAATCAGTCTATATTTATTTTGAATCACTATATTCCTTTGTTGTTTTATTTCATCACTCTTTCATCATTTTGTAATTCTTTAAGAAATTGCAAAAAAAAGTTACACAAAAAACATACATTTCTTGATGTATACATTTTATACATATTGTATCTTGTATGAAAAGCTTTCCTAATACACGTTTTCATTCAGATCTTTCCACAATATGTCCACATTTGCTTGGAGTTTTTTTCTTGAGACAAATATATGAGATAGATGTTAAGGGATTTCATGGATTTATGTCATGACAGATTCCATTGTAGGACAATTAGTTATTACAAAAGAAATCCATGATTTCAAGTTATGGGTAAATAACTAGGTTATTGCAATTGAAGAAAATATTGGAGTAATCAAGCAAGATTTTTATTTCTTCCAATCCAGCGAAATGCTAAAAAAGGTCTAGGTAAAGGAGCTCAGAACTATCTGCCAGGACAAATCTCTGAATAGAGACTATAGTGGAACTAAATGTGGTATATTGGGAGAAGCCAGCTAAAGAAAGAATAGATTTGAAAATTGGAGAGATTTGACATGGGGGGGAAACCCAGGAAAAAAGCTGCAATGTATCCTTATAAGGAAAGGCAATTGGGCAACAGTTTGGAATAATATCAACTCCTCCATTTGTGACTGAATGAAACTCACCCTACTTTGAGCCTTGCATGCATACTTCACTATAAAAATGCACAAATGAATCAAAGTAGAAACATAAGCGTTCACCTTGATTAGAAATTCTCAGATCTACACGTACAAACAACATAGGCAATTCATGGAGACATTGTCTGATTATTTCCTGTGAAAAAATTGAGTATTTGGCAACCAGCATGTATTTACGATGGTTGCAGCATCCTGGGGTCATGTGATTACCATTTGTGACCTTCCCAACCTGCTTTTGACAACCAAAGTTAATAGAGGAAGCCAGATTTGCTTAACAACTGTGTGGTTCACTAGCAACTGCCTGTGATTTGCTTAACTACTGTGGCAAAGAGGGTCATAAAGTTGGACAAACTCATTTAACAACTGTTTTGCTTAGCAGCAGAAATTCTGGCCCTAATTGTAGGTAGTTGTGACTCAAAGATTACCTGTACTACATTCTGAGCCTCCCCTCCCCATGGTCATAGGTCCCAGAGCAAAGGCCTGTACTTCCTAGTATGTACATGCAAACAAATACTACTGCAGAAGGGTTAGAAAGAATTCCAGAAGTCAGTCTTTGCATGCTTTCCTTTCCTTGTTTATATGGAGGGACTGTGAATGGCTTAGAACCAATTTTCAAGTTTCATAATTTTTAAATTCTAAGTGAATGCCATTTTTGGCTACATTCTGAATGGTGGATCCACAATTGTAAGCCAGAAATAGAAGAATTTGCATGTACTGTCTTAGAATGTGTATGTTGCATGATTTATTGAAAATTTCTAATATATTAATTATTAATATTATCATAGGTGTAGAAGGACCAATAATTGATACCTTTGGATATATCACCCCATATAGCATTTTAGGAACTCTCCAGGAATTCAAGAAAGAAGCTATAAAAAAGGGTCACTCTCAGGTTTGTATTATGGTTATTTGCAAATTAGCTAAATATTTCCATTGATACATAACAAGGTCTCATTATTTAGCTGCAGCATTACAAAAATGAAAAATGTATTGTGAATATATTAATCCAAATCAACTTTTCCATAGGATTTTTTAAAAATGTTGTTGTTTATTAAATGCCACCCTTCTTGTTTAGAAGCGATTCTGGGCCTGCAGTGATCCTTAGTGTGTTTTTCATAATGTATCGAATTAATACTGAAAAAGGGCTTATATTCTTTTTTCATTATTTCAGCCTTGCATTTTCATTTACTGCTTTACTGTTATATTATTTTTCTACTTTTTTTCTTCCTTGCTGTGCCAAAGCAGCCCATTTTTGAAAGAACAATATTAGCATAGTAGCCACTATATTTATATGTTGGCTAATTGACTTAGTATGGAATGAAGCTATTGAAAGAACATCAACACCCAAGCTGATCAATATATCTGAAAGACAACTCAACAGCAATTCAAGAGCCTTCCTTCAAGAGCAGTGCCATGGATCATGCAGACAGCATAAAAAGATATCATAATTAGCTAGGCTACCTATCTGGACATTGTCCTGCCATTCTGAATTTGTCATTGTCTCCTTTCAGATAGTGCGAATGATTCCTGAGGAATCACAGCTTTCTTGTGCAATGTCAGTTTTTGGAACTTACAGAAAGAAACCTGAGGAAGAAAAGAAAGTAGCCCAGGTCTCTCCGTCTCAACACCGGGCCCTTCAGAACTGGCAGCGGAACATGGCACTCAGGAGAAAGCAACAAAAAAGGCTGTGCGGTATATAAAATTTGAACAGATCTACTACTGTGCCTCTGGCAGATACATCTTAGTGTTAGCAATGATCTCTGGAGGGAAGTCCTGGGCAATTTTGAAAATAAAACAGATAGTTTTTAAGGGTGAAAAGATCTATATGAGGTTGATTCCGTACTGTGATTCAAATAATTTAACAACCGGTTTTCTGCCCTAATGACCAGCTGGGTAGGCGTGGGTAGGCGGGCATGTGACTGGGTGGGCATGGCCAACTTGACGGCACTCATGTCAAGGGGCACTTTGCCTCACCCAGCCTCATGACCATGGGGATGCTGCAATGGTCGTAAGTGTGAAAACGGTCATAAGTCACTTCAGAGCCATTGTAACTTTGAATGGTCACTAAATGAACTGTTGTAAGCCAAGGATTACCTGTAGAAAAATACAAAAAGCTTTGCTTGTAAAAAGGTGCCCTAAATACCAATCATTAGATTAAAAATGGGGGAATACACACTGAAGATCAATGACAGTCACAGCAATCATGGAAATCTAAACCATTCTATCTGAATACTTTTCTTTTGATCAGCAATACCTGCAAGCTGGAGTTGCAAATCAGGCAAGGTGCCAGAGCACCTTGAGGAATTAAAACAGTTAAAATGCAACGATAACTATCAGCAGCCAACTCTTGCTCATAAAGCCTTTAGCAGAGTGGTCATTTAAGCTCTCCAGAAAGTAGATGGGCACACTTGGGCTACAAAATGCCAAGCTAAAGAGACAAATTAACAAAATATATAGGGGACCCAGGTTCAAGTCTCTGCCCTCTAAGCTTGTCAGGATCACAATAAAATTAGTACATGCCACCAATATCTAAACAAACTTCAAGCCTGGTGCCATACTACTAAGCCTTATTATCATGAGAGAAAGCTAAAATGAATTGAAGGATCCATACTCCTACCTCTTTAAAAAAAAATCTTATTATCAGTAAGCAGTCATGTGCCTTGGCCACTCCGAAGCAATGAAAGAGACTCCTGTCCCAAAAGTGTTTTTTCAAGAGGCAACTGGACTTTCTGGAAACCAAGAAAGTTGAGTTGCCTCTTGAAAAAAGTACTTTTGGGACAACTATCACCTGGATGACTGAAGAATCCCCATAGATAAGAGACTCCTGTGCTCAGTTAACTGACAAAGCTCGCTGCCTTCCTGACAGGATTAATTAGCGCTGTAAAGTGGGAAAAACAAAAGGCTGTTGGAAGGAGATTTCTTCCAACAGACAGTTTGCTGAACTGTTCAGAAAGTTAACAAATAGTTCTCCTGAACCGGTGTGAACCGGCTGAATTCCACCACTGGGTTGATTCCCTGGGAATTGTGATATTTTGAATGCACGGTGTTGTGATATTGTTTCATTTGTTATTTTTGTTCTCAGAAGCTCTTCAGAAACCAGAAAGTCAGTTGCTGATGAACTTTTCAGAACATTACAGGAGAATCCAGGAACAGCGAACTTTGATTGATCGTAGTATTCCAGCTATGTATTCTGGAAAGGTGATAATTCTGCAAATAATTCTCCTGGTTTTATTTAGGTCAGAAGTTCATGCTCTAGTCATTTTATATTGGAAAAACCCTGCAATACTTTGATGTCCTTGCATAAGATCTCATAAGAATTTAGTTTAGAAAGTGCATGATTGTTAGATTCTCAGGAGATATGATGATGTTTTGGGATTTCAGCCACTAAAAAAATCTGTTAATTTTTGATTGTGGAGGCCCATTGTGCCTGAATAAGCTGTTGATTATTTATTTTTCTAAACAATTAAGATTGCATATATACATCCATAGTGTGCAGAAAAATATTTACTATAGGAAACATCTAGGCATTGGTCAATTGTACTGGAAAGGAATGAGCAAAGGACCTATATATTGCAATAGAAAAGAATATATGTGACTCAGGGTTGAATTGTGGAGTGCACTGATGATTTTACCTAGTTACGTAATGAAACATCTGCAAGCAAAGTACCAAACCCGGAGACCATCAAGAATTATCTACCTGTATGTGATCACAAACTGTAACACTGAGGTCAAAGTACTGTATAAATGTAACTGTAGGTGCTCAATGTAAAATATTTGTTGGTTGTAGGGAAATAATATAACATAATTGGAAGAGCCATTAATGCTGTTGAACTTAGCTTTCTACTCACCGCAGGAATACAAATTAAAACATTTCACACAGAGGTATGTCTAGCCTCCATTTGAACACATCTGATAAGTAACTTTTGTGCTGTCAAACTGTTCTACTGTGAGAATTTTTTAAAAAAACCTTTCAGTTGGAATTTGCATTTCTGTAACTCAAGGTTCTGTTCTGTTTATATTATTTTGCTTTGGGTTCCTTAAATCTATCCACTTGCTTAGCGCTTCATATTTCCTAGATTTCCAGTGGAAGACAGCATGGATTTTTTTCTTTTTCAATAGATGTGTTGGGCAATAAATATATAAGTTATGAAAACAGGATAAAGAAGACAGTAATTACAGAGAGTAGGAACAAATTTGGATATAACTTTTGTCATCTTTTGGTTAGCCGTTATATAAGAGTTAGAACAATTTTCTCATCCCTGCACCATTCCTTAGAGTCAGACATGACTGGAAAGGGGAAATTTTTACATCCACCTTACTCTTTTTCTGTTGTTGTTTTTTCATTGGTCCCCCTGCCAAATGTTATTTTATATTCTTTGTCTCTCAAAACTAAACTTATATCTGTATGGCTTTGGTTTTCTTCATTATTAATAGGGCTATTCAGGGAATGAGTTCTGGAATCAGCCTGTGCACGTTGGGGATGAAACCAAGGGTCTAACCACAACATTGGGTCAGACAGATCTGGGATTTCCAGAAGAGGTTACTCATGTTGGGAAACCACGTAGCATCTGGAGAGAAATGGGTGAGGCACTATACCAGTGATGGCTAACCTTTTTGTCCTTGCGTGCTGAAATTGCACCCCCCATGCCCTATTTTGGGCCTAGCAGGCCTCCTTGAAACCTCCTGGGACATAAAATGGGCCATGGGAAGGCGCCACACACGCCACACACCCCAGCGCTCCCCCATGCCCCACACACATGTGTGCGCAACCCTCCTGCTCCCCCATGCATGCATCTCCTCCATGTGCAGCAGAGACTCAAAAATCAGTTGGCCGACGGGAGGCGTGTGTGCACATGCGCATTGGAACTGAGCTGGGTGATGGCTTGCGTGCCGGCAGAGAGGGCGCCGTGTGCCACCTGTGGCACGCGTGCCATAGGTTCACCCTCATGGCACTATACGCACTGGATTTTTATAAAGGGTGAAGTCATATCCTGATAGCAGTATACAGCTATGGAGAAGCTCGGGCAATCATAGTGGATTTTGACAGTCGCTATGCATCAACTTAATAAAGTTATTACATGTATTGTTAAAGCTATCAAATGTATTGGTGTGTACATACCTAGGTCAGTGTCAGATATTCCTACAGGTACCAGTCCACCAAAATACCTCCCTTTTCATCGTCCCTGGGAAAAAAGCCTCTTCCTGCAGCATCGGAGAAATGAGTTAAAGGAAGTTTTAGAAACGCTGGATTTTTATAGCCCGGTATGATACTTTCAGCACATAAAGCCATTTATATATTAGAAAATTGTTATATAACAGTTCCTGTAAGCTTATATTACATATTTCATTTAAACATTCTGATTCTTCTTTTGAACAATAGAAGAAAAACAAATGAAAACATAGTCCTTTTTTTATTCTCCCTTTTTGAGGAAGGATCTGGATGGGCTGGAAGTCATAGGCAGAAACCAACCTTTCACCAATGTGTCAGCAGACAGTTTTTCAGCTTGTGATGATGATGACAATAAAGAATCTGAAGAAACATCCTCGTACGTTGCAATATTTCATTAATGCACATTTAAGGCTTTTGCAGCGGATCGGATTTCATTCATAAGAGTTGTTAAAAGTGCATATGCATGAATATTCTATTTGTTTGTGTCATTAAAATAGCTGTATCTGTTTTCATGTGGCTGTAGCAGAAGCCAGATTGAACTGATACCTGGATATGAATTGGCAGGTTTAAATGCCTCAGCTGAATCTCTAACACAATTAATTCAACAGCAATATTATTTTGCATATATTAAACAGCCCTTTAGGAAGAATCATTGGTTTAAATAATTATTGGAAATGTGGTGGTCAAAATACATCACTGGCTTATACAATGTGGTCATGGACTGTGGAACGGGGGACACATATTTCATACATGCACCTACATTTTCTGGGAAGGCACATGTGCAGCACTGTGCCTAGACATATGGAATGACAGTCCTTAGATTTTATCATATGCCACCTGGCTATTACCCGGGGGAGGGCCTTCTCTGTGGCAGCTCCGCCCCTCTGGAAAGAACTCCCTGCAGGGATTCGGACCCTCACCTCTCTCCAGGCCTTCCGAAAAGCCGTCAAAACCTGGCTTTGCCGGCAGGCCTGGGGGTGATGAGTTCCCTCCCCTCTCGACATGTTGTGCGACTGTTGTCTACTTTTATTATTTGTAATTTGTCTTTTAAGTTCCCCCATTTTTTCCCCCTTGAATTGTTCGCCGCCCTGAGTCCTCCCGGAGAAGGGCGGCATACAAATAATAAAAGTAGACAACAGTCCCACAACAGTCGAGAGGGGAGGAAACTCATCACCCCCAGGCCTGCCGGCACAGCCAGGTTTTGACGGCTTTTCGGAAGGCCTGGAGAGAGGTGAGGGTCC